GGGAAACGCCAATATCTTGGGTTTGTCTCCAAAGTTCTTGCTAGTAACCATAATGGAGCCTGAGATAAGCAGTTTAGAATGGAGAATTGGCAGGTACATCTACTTTGCTCCAAGAAGGATTAAAGGATTGATTGGCTATTATTCTTTATTCAAGAATTGTGGCTGTTGCCTCTTCTTTGTTTTTCTCAAGACTCAGATAAATCAGAATATAACTGAAGAACAAATAGGGCACAACCATCAAGGGAATTATTTGCACAAAAGACACGTGTGGGCTAGGAAAATAAGAAAAACAACAACAACAAAATCACATTCTTATTCTCAATAATAACAGTCTTGAGACTGCAGGTTTGATCTAAGGCTTATCACTCCAGATCAGAGGAAAGTATCTGTTCGGATCCATAACAGTCCCTGGTCCAAGGTCGATGGTGTTATGAGCAAGAATGAAGGGGCTCTTTCACACTGTTTCTCTGAGGCTTTGAGAACATCACTTTCTGAGTCACATAATAGACCACATAAGGACCAAGGGCTAGAGTGTGGAGTGAGGGACCCTTTACACTGCAGCCGCAAGAGTCTTTGTCACAGGGCAACAAAGCAAGCAAGAAAAATAAAAGGAGATGATGCCGTTTATGAATTCTTGTGAGACAGCCCTAGTGTTCAGCTTTGGGATGCCCTCAGTGTTCAAAGCTACCTTCTTTTCCTTGCTGGCCTTCTGACTGCTTCTCTGGGTCATTCCCCACTGGATGAAGGAGAACCCTACTAGAATTCACTGTACCCAACTGACAACAACTTTTTATTGTGTTTTTTTTTTAATTAAATACTGTTATTCTAAAAAGATAGTGAACTTCAAGGGCAAGGGCAATATTATTTTTTGTCTCTCTGGTAGGGCTTAGCCACTATGTTGGGCATAGGGCAAGCAACTATAGTTCCTCATTAACCTGATTTGACATTAGCTTGGTTCTTATTGTTAGTAACTCAAACTGCACAAGGTTGCTCAAAGGTATAAATGAAAAGAAAAAAAAAAATCTCTCCTTCCTGGCTACCACTCAGGACAACATTGCTTGGAAAGGATTAAAACATTTTGCATCTCTACTAACCATTTCCCTGGGAAACAAAGCTAAGTCTGTAATGCTGATTAGCAATGTTAATATTCTTCTGTAGGTGGACAAGCACACTGAGGCTTGCTTCACCTTCCCCCTCTTCCTTAGATAGAATGATTTAACTCCTCTTTACACACACACACACACACACACACACACACAGACACACACACACACACTTATTTATAGCTATATAGACTCTACCTGGTATATGCATATCCTACAGGAATTTAGAAAGCAGTGAATTTTAAATTACAACACAAATACTCTATGCTTAACCCTGTCTTCTATATCAGAATAAAGGAGGAACTAAGAACAGAGAAAAGAGTTGATGTTTGAGGCCATTTAAGTCCTTCTCGCTAAAGCCAGTGAGGTTTCAATATCAGAAATAGCTGCAGCCTCTAGATCTCAGTGACTATAGGAAAATAAAATACCACAACACACCTGGCAGACTACAGTCTTTCAGCTTGGTTGGTTATTTATACTTTACTCTGCATTTACTTGACTAAGAGACTGTTTCTCCTGAAAAAAATTTTTTTTCTGAACGCTTTTTGTTTGTATTATTATATATTTTTCCTTTCTTTATTAAGGTATTATTACATATGTGTCCTTATCCCCCCATTGCCCTCTCCCCCCAGTGCTCATGCCCTCACTCCCTGGTGTCTGTGTCCACTGGTTATGCTTATATGCATGCATACAAGTCCTTTGGTTGATCTCTCCCCCTAACCCCCACCCTCCGCTACTTTCCCTCTGAGGTTTGAACATCTGATCAATGCTTCTCTCTCAGTCAGTGAAAGATAAATATCAATGATCTCATTCATTTGTGGATTATAATGAACAACATAAACTGATGAACAAAAACAGATCCCAAATTTTTTATTGCCAGACCTCATGTGCTACCAGATCTCTCTGGTGATGATTGGGTGTTTGTTAGTTTGTTTGCCCTTTGACAGGAATTAAATGGTGGGATGACTTGTGGTTACAACTAAGTTTGATAAAGCATGTTTAGACATGGCACAAAGAAGTGAGCATGGGTCCAGGAGTCAATACTTTAGTCCTTTCTGACCTTTAGCAAGAACCTCATCTCTCTGGGCCCCATTTCTGTACCTGTAAATGAGCAAGTTGGACTAGATGACTTAAAGGATCATTCTAAATTCTAATGTGGTGTGCTATCATCTATGAGAGAGTGGGGTTGATGGAGAGATGTCGAACTGAAAACCGAAGACATGTTCTTGAGGTCCTCACCTTGCCATTTAACAACTCATTAAACCTTTCTGAGACTTGGTTTCTTCCATTCTAGCTCTAAATTCTATGATTTTTATGATATTGCTTATTGAGTCTGAAAATATCACAAACATAAGTTCTCAGAAATTACCTTTAAGATTTTCATGCTACACAGCTTGTATCACATAAACCACCCAATTTGATCAACAACAACCAGGATTTATTATGCAAGTAAATGTTTTATCTGCACAGCATGGGTGAAACGCTGCATATTTTCCAAATATCACTCAGAAGCAATGGTTTTACTTGCCCTATCATAACTGCATTTTAAATCACTATTACTATTTAGCACAATTACCACCATGCTGTCTGGTTTTCATGAGGTTAAACACTGTGTCAACTTGATAAATTCTGTATTTTTACACTCTGGATTGCCTGCTTTCTGTTGAATGATGCCACTGGCAAACAGCCAACAAGTTTGGATTGGCACCTTTCTACAACTGACCAATGGAAAACTGCATGCCTGTTGATGTGTTTATGCAGCCAGATTCCTATAGTAGGTTCCACTTTAGAATTTGACAAACTCATCTCCTTCCTACCCTAGGAAATAAAGTGTCATTTTTTTGTACCACCTTGATTATAGCTGGCTGTTGTCTGAACTATAAGAGTGCATGGAGCAAAGAATGGCTATTTCAAAAGAGCTATCTGTAAGAGACAGAGGGAGCCTGCATTGCTCTGGGGTACTGATATTGTGCTCATCATTTCCATTCTGTCTTATTGGCTTTCCTCTAAATGCCAGAAACAGAAGATGGTTTGAATTCTCTGGCAGCTACCAAAGTCAAAGAGGGAGGAAAAAAGATGGGAAGTAATATGTTTATTAAGTACCCGCTGGTTGCCAGACATTGTTTAACTCATTCAGTGATCATGAAGTGACATCAGACACCACAGAATCTGGGGCCCAAGCAATGTGGTCAGAAAGCTGATTGTCATCTCCCAGTTCTGTTTTGTCATCTCCCAGTTCTGTTTTCCCCTGCTTGACTGTTCTCACACAGGTTCTCTTCACATGGTGGCAAGGTAACCACCAGCAGCCTCACTCTCACATCCTCCTAGCTTAGCAAGCCGGTGGATGGAAGATTTATCTTTCCCATGTCTGTATAAGCATTCCCAAGGAAGATTCAGATTGATGTGGCTATGCCACATGTTCATGAATGAACCAATCTCTCTCTCTCTCTCTCTCTCTCACCTCCCCCCACTCCCTCCCTTCTACTCTCTCTAAAAAAAAACAAACAATAGAAACTATATCCCCAGGTGAGGATTAACAACAACAAAAAAGGACATGTACCTTCAGCTTAGAGTCTCCTAAGGGTGTTATCTTAAATGTTATTAAAACAAGATCTTAGTAATCAAAATTTTATGAATGACAGAAATTTACTAA